ATTTATTTTGTTTACTCTTCTCTCTTCATCTTGCTTTTCTTCTTGAATGTTCTTTAGGGTTTCTCTAAATTCTAGTCATTTTTGTAACTCTTGTGCATAGTTTTCCCAATCTTCTTTTTTTGCTTGATCATACAAATATAGTGTTCTTGACTGTTTTTTCCTTTTAACCCTGCTTCACTTTTCTTTGCTATTACATGTTTGATCCATATTTCTGCTTTTACTATTTTATGATCACTTTCTGTAATTTCTTCTGCTTTTCCAATTTCTGCTTTTTGCAACCCTATTGCAAGTCCATCTGACACCTATATATAGTCAATTTTTGTTACTGCTTCTTCATTTAACCATGTATATTGTTGTTCTGTTGAGTGCATATCTATGTACATGTCACTAAAATTCTGCTTTTTTATCTAATTAAAAATTAGTAGTCTTTTATAGTTTGCTGACTGTAGGTGTTGTCTGTCTAATATATTGTCTGCTGTATGGTTAAAATCACCTATTATGACTATTTGTGTTTGTCTTTTTCTTTTTAGAACTGTTTTTACAATTTTCTGTTGGATGCTCTTTTCTATTACCTTGTCATTCGGTGATATATAGACCAAGATTATTACTAACTCTAATTGCTTAAAGTATAGTGTAATTTCCATTATGTATTTACTTATTTTCCTAACTGCACCTATAAGTTTCTCCTATTGTTCATTTATCAGAATTCCAATACCTAATCCTTTTTTCTTATCTTCTGCTGCATTTACCCAGTGTCCTATATATTTATTGCTTGCAGTATATGTCAGAAACTTTTCTTCTCTTTCTGTAAGGTTTGTTTCGATGATTTCTAGTATTGCAATTTCTTCTTTTTTTGCCCACCCTAGCAGATTTCCGAGTTTCTAATCTTTAGTTTTTAGTCCATTAACATTGTGACATGCGATTTTAATTTCTTTCCTTCCTTTTTTCCATTTTTCTTTTAGATTTCTTTGTATTTTTTCCTTCTTCGTTATGTTTTTTTTCTTTTTTCCCTTTTTTTTTTCTTTTAGGTTAAGAGATCTTTCTTTTCTATTCATCTCAAATGTTCTCCTCTCACCTTGCAAGAAATCTACAATCTCCTCATCTATATGCATTAGTTTGACTGGTGTGCCCTTAGGAGCGATTTGTCAGAACTGCCTGATCTTGTTGAGTTTCTAATCTTTCTAACTTTTCAAGTATCTTCTGAAGAACATTATGCACCTGTGGATTTTTTTTTTCAGTTTTACTTTCCTTTCTTTTGTAACTATTGTGATGCTTGTCTTTTTTCCTTTCTTGCTTGTTACTATTGCTGCTTCTGTATACCTCTACCTCTGAGTCTTCTGTAATATCTTTCGTGTTAATATATTTAACATTAATATTTTTATACTAGTTTATATACTTGTCTTTCTCTTTCTTGTGGTCTTGCCAGAAGAGTAAATGATTATTGAATCTTATCGGTTTTGTCTGTGCTGCTTCTATTTCTTCTGCTGATGCAAATGTAATTGTGGCTGATCTTCTCTGATTTCCATTTCTATTAGGTGGTATATACACTGATCTTGCACTTTTTTTCTTTAAACACTGTAGTAGCAATACTTCTGATGCATGTCCTAGGAGTTCTACCAACCTAGTTGTAAACTGGTTTTGCAGATTATGCCGATTAAAGTCTTCTTCGCCTAATATTACTCTTGCTAATTTGTGTATTCCTATTGGCAGTGACCATGGGATACTTTCTTTATCTATTTTTTTTGTCTTAATTACTGTAAGCGCTTTGTATTTGGATCTCTTAATATATTTTACTTGTGCTCTTTTAATACTTCTGCACATATACTCTACTTCTTCTGTGTTGATATTAGCTGGCAAGTCCCATATCGTTAGCAGTAATCCTATTTCTGGCTCATTTTCTATTACATATATTTTTTCATCATTTTCCCCTTCCTTTCGTTTCTTAGTCTTCTTGGGTCTTTTCTCTTCTTTTTTCTTGTCTTTGTATACTTGTTGACTTTGCTTTCTACCTTGAGTTTTTTGTTCTTCTGGAAGAATTTTGAGCTATTCACCTTCTTTCTCTTTAATTCTCTCTATTGCTGCATCTCTACTAAATTCACAGTCAAAGTTCACCTCTATCCAACTATTACCATTCTTGAAAACTTCATGAATTGTTTTAATATGATGATTTTCTCGAAAAATTCATTGAGTATATTTTATTCTCTCTTCTTGGTACTAGGTATGTTGGTATGTTTGCTTTAAATGATCTGCTCTTGTCGCATATACGATTTTTTGGTGACCACTGGCTTTGCTCTATTGTGTCTGTTATTTTTGGAATTTTTTGCTTCTCTTCTTCTGCTTTTAGTTCAGCAATTTTTCTATCTATTTCTTTGATGTCTTCTTTAAGTTTATATATTCTAGCATCAATTGGAGAATCTTGGCCTTCTTCATTTGTTTTCCTCTCGTTGTTGTTTTCACCTCTTGCTGTATTCTATAGTTTCCTTTCAATTATATTTTGGGAATTTTCAAGATTTGGGCGTTGTGTAGTTGAGATGCTTAGGTCCTTTATTTGTCCTATAATTTCTTGTAAATCTTGGGTTATTTCCTTCTCTTCATTGTTGTCTTCTTTATTTTTCTTCTCTATAGTTAATACTATATTTGGTTCTTTAATTTCTTTTGTCTTTTCTGTTCTCTCTGGTTTAACTTTTTCCTTAAATATTTCTCTCTCATTTGTACTTTCTTAATAGTTGAATAACCTTGAGTTTACATCTATTGTTGCTAATTTTGTTGCCCATTCTTCTACAATACTATGTAATACAATGCATACTGCTATTATTTTAAGTGCTTCTAAAATTTGACCATATCGAAGTAGATCATCTGGTGTTATATTTTTTGGATCATAGACCGCTAGATCTCTTGCTATATACTCTAAGTTGTTTGGCTTATTTATCGACTTTGATAGGATTGAATCTAGTATTTTACTATCTACATATCTTCTATTTCTATCATCGAAACCTCTAATATGTTGTATTAAGCTTGTGCTACATGATAGCCCCAATCTTGTTTGTACTTCTGTTTCTAGATTTTTCTGATGTTTATTCATCTGCTTGCTACACATGCTGTACTTATCTGTTGTTTCCTAATTAGGCTGATTATCGTTGATTCTTGTTGTTGTTTGATATAACATGACATGTTGCTTTGGTTTTGTTTATTTGTGTTCTGGTCACATGCTTCTGATTTGTTTTTCTGGGTTAAATGCTGTTTTTCAATTTTCCCCAAAAATTTTCTAAAAGTTTTGAAAACCAATGACTGTTTTGTTTAACAAAGCTTTGCTTATATTGTTGTTAAGACAAAATAGTTGTGTTTTGTTTGCTGAATCTTTTTTCTTAGCAGTCCAAGTGAAGTTTATCAGACTGTTTTTACGTTTTTCTATGTACTTGCTTTTAGCCTTATTTGAAAATTTAAGATCAGCGGAGAGAGTTTGTTTTGTTGATTTTTGAACTGGTTGATCATCATAACTGCCAAAAGTTAAAAAAAAAGATTTATTAATAAGCTTTTTAATTTATTTTATAAAATATGATGTATCAGAAGTGATGATACGACCTATATATAGTAAAATCGTATTTCCGACACTTTTACTTAGTGCATCAAGACCAGTTTAGATAGCCATTTTTTATATTTTCGTGGTTTTGGCTTTGTCGAGTTGTTCGGAATGATGCGGAACATATATCGGGAAGTTTCGTAAGGTGCCAGGCTTTAAACGACCCCATAAAAGGAAATTTGAAAAATGGTTCAGTAAAATCGGCCGATATGATGGACACATGACTTAAATTTAATCATTTATTCGTGCGAAAAACTTATTGGAAATCTTTCATTTCCAACAATGTCACTAGCCGACGAGCTACTCGCAGATCCGGATTTCATAACTACTCGTGACGAGGAAACTAACGATATTGATAACAATGAATTGGAAGATGTTACGATGCAAGATTTAGAAGAAGTAGAAGAGGACGATATGGTTGACGATTTGGAAGAAGAAAAACAGATAAACTCAGAGGTTGAAATGAAGAATGTAATGGATGTGAGAAAAATTGCTAAATTGCTTGGTTCTAGACAAATGAAGGATGTTCTGATGGTTAGTTCGTAGTTTGACCATTGCAACTAGTAAGTATAAATGTATAAACGTTGCTCAACTGTGTTATTTCCTTTTAAATAATTAGAAAATAGAACAGCTGAAAAATACAAACCGAATTCATGTCCAAATAATGGGTCCTGTCGAAGAAGACCCAGAATATAAACTTATTGTACAAGCAAACAATTTGACCGTAGATATTGATAGTGAAATTTTAGTTGTCCACAAGGTGAGATATTATTCTCATTCATACACCATGATAACTTTCTAATAATTAACGTTTTTCGTTTGAAGTTCATAAGGGATCATTATGCAAAAAAGTTTCCAGAGCTAGAATCATTGGTACTCAACCCACTAGATTATGCTCGTGCCGTGAAAGCAATTGGTAACGAAATGGTTAGCACTCTTTCATTCAATATTGTAGATATTTAAAAATGTCAAGAAATTATGGTATTTATTTTTTCAATAGACACCAACCTCACCGTGTGGACCGTCAATTCCATCGGATCATTTTCCATCATTTTAGGATTTGACCAAAGTCGATCTGAGATCGATACTTCCATCTGCCACCGTGATGGTGGTAACAGTTACTGGTTCTACAACAAACGGCCTACCACTAACAATAGAAGAAAGTATGATTGTGAGTGATGCATGCGATATGGCTTTGGAATTGGATAGTGCCAAGCGTACGGTTAGTAAATATATATTAATCATAGTAAATTGTATTAGGGTTTTTTTTAATTTTTTTTATCACAGATATTGGAATACGTGGAATCAAGGATGTCCTTAATTGCGCCAAATCTTTCAGCTATAGTAGGCAGTACTACTGCTGCCAAAATGTTGGGACAGGCTGGTGGTTTGATGGCTCTTTGTAAAATGCCAGCATGCAACGTTATGGTATATAGTCTCTTTTTTGTCGGTTTATTTGTTCGATAAACGAAAAAATTTAAATGCATTATATCAACATTTAAAACATCTACTAATTTGCCAAAATTGTGGTTTATTCATTTTAGTTAATCGGTGTCCAGAAGAAAACGAGTACGGGGTTTTCCAATGCATCAACACCGAGACACACTGGGTACTTGTTTCAATCTGAATTGATACAGAGAACACCACCAGATCTCAGATTGAAAGCACAGAAAATTGTTGCCGCCAAGTATGTTAATTCTATTTACATAAAAATTGCAATTTGCCTATCGCATTTAGTTATTTGGAAATTACCTCAATCTAGATGCACATTGGCCGCTAGGATGGATCGTATGCATGAATCATCTGATGGTATTATTGAATTTATTGAATATTTTTCGATGGCTTTCGAACTTGATTACACTAATCATTCGTATATAATAAGGCTCATTTGGTAGATCTTTACGGGAACAGATTGACAAAAAACTTGAAAAGTTGCAGGAACCACCTCCGTCCAAGACGGTCAAGCCTTTACCAGTTCCTGACGAGGGGCCAAAAAAACGGAGAGCTGGAAAAAAGTAGGTATCATCCAAATTACTCTTATTTTTTTATGTTTATATGCAAATATTAATGTATAATTTATTGAATTATTCACCTTAGAGTACGTCGAATGAAAGAAGCACACGCAGTTACGGAACTTCGTAAGGCTCAAAATAGGATGGCATTCGGTGTCGCTGAAGATGAAACTGGTTCTTTTGATACAACCAAGGGCTTAGGCTTGATTGGACAAAATTCGGGCAAAATCCGTGCTGCAGTGTCCGATCCCAGAGTTAAAGGTTTGATTACATTCTTATTTGGGTTAAAACACAATTCCTATCTGTTTTAAACTCATATTTTTGCAACATTCTTTCTACGACTAATTATTGCATAAAGTAAAGGCACCCAAAAGACATCAATTTATGGGATCATCTGGGGCAACGTCCGGTTTATCATCATCTTTGACTCTCACTCCAGTCCAGGGAATTGAATTAATCAATCCCGACGAAGCACAAAAGAAGGTTAAGGATGCAAATGATAGATATTTCGGTGGCGGTGCATTTTTGAAAGTTGGTAAATCAAAACAGCAATAGAAATAAATTAATAATTGTAGTTGATTAAAAATTTGTAGATTTAGCCAGTCGATAGTTTTGATACGACTAAGCTAAAAAAGCTAAATCTGCCAATATTTCAACTATAAAATATAATAAATTTGGCTATCATTCGCATTTCTGTTGCGACAGACCCTTAAATAATCTGTCTGTTTTACAATTCTATGTGAAATTATACAACAACTTTTAAAGATATACTACGAACGGTTGTAACCGGGCTTAATTTGCCTCAAATATAACTGTCCTAGCGTTACAACCGGATCGCAAACAAAACAAAAATTCGGGTATCCTAGCCATGTCAAAAAACGAACCTGTTACGTGACGTGCGAAAAATCCTTTTATGTAGATCATTTTCATATAAGGTCGTCATGAAAAATTAATTTTACTTAGGTTTTACAAATACGCCACTAATAATTTTTAACCAAAAATTTGTGACACATAGGGTAAATTCTTCTATTTATGGTGGTGTAACTTTAAATCCCATATCATTTTAAATATTAAAGGTGACCCATATTATTTTAAGAAAACCTACATGTATATATTACGTACGTATAATTTATTTAGGTCGATTGAAATTTGCCTAGGTAGTACATAAAATCTGTTTTACTAGTTTTTTACGTAAAATTATAGGATTTTTAATTGTAAATAAATTACTTTTTTTGATAATTCTAAACTATTCAAATTTAGTTTTAGGAGCTACATTAATTAAAATAAAATAGAAGTTGAAAAAACAGTAGACATAAAACATGCTAATGAAATATATATATAACATTAAATATTGCTATAAACAAAACAAAAGTAAGCATTTAACAAAGATTTTATATAAAAATATATATTTTTTTTTAAATATTAAGGTGAGTACTTGCGACCCAGGATTTTATTGATAGTATATTTGGCTAATGGTTGCATTACAATCACAGGGGGCAACCATGGAAAGAGTGTACAACTAGCCATTTATACAACTTTAGTCATTGTTTAATTTAAGTAGTTCGCCTGAAGGTTCTATACTAGCTATTATACCTGAAATCTACTTGTAGGTTCTTTATTTAACCACTATGTTTCTGTATCCACCCACCTTCCTCTACTTACCAATGATCCTGGCCGATGTCGGTGAAAATATGTCATGGCTACTAAGTCTTTAAAGCAGTTTCTTTAAACTTTTGACCTTGTACTAAACCTTTCAGAATCTTCTGTATCCCATTCTTATCGCTGACCTGGTATCGCTATGGCTGAGACCAACATTGGTGGTCAGGGCATATCATTAAACCACTTTTGCCCTTGTAGAGTTCACCCCAACCCTGGTACTGACTTCACAACATATCCTTATTATTTTGGTATTCAATTCAAGTTCTACTAAGCTGTTATTCCAGATAGCCTGAAAAAGTAAGGCGAGACCATACCTCTGGTTTACATGTTTGCCAGCATGTACCCTTTTCTTCCAGAACCTGGAAATTCCAGCAGCCTGGTTGGTTCATCTGGTCCCTCCCCAAGGACCAGCACATTTGTCCAGTTTCACAAGTTCTAGTTCTATTTCACAAGTCTAGTCTTTACAGTAGTACTGTTGAAAGTTTGGGTTACCTTTCTACTTAGGTCTTTCAATTAGACTTCTATCTCTTTCTATTGGTTCCTATGATTTACACGGCCATGAGGACTTATTGTAAGTTTGCACCGCCTGGTACTGGTTTGCATTCCTTTGTGTAACTACAGACCTTGTCCCAAAGGA